CAATAACTCGTGTGATGTTTCTGAATGATGTGCACATGAACACAGCCAAATGAAGAAGGATTACATATTATCCTAGAACAATACACCCTAGTGGGATTCCATAAAGATTTCCAGTGGGAACTCAGCGTATTTGGCTGGTTCAGTATTTGGTGTAAGCCTGGCCTGCCTTCGGGTGTGCACTCAATTCTGCAGGTCCTTGTTTGACTTAGCGTGTTCATTTTCTTGGTGGCAGTGTTGGTGGTAGTGAAAGACAATGTTGGCATTTAACTGCCCATTTGTCTTGAGCTAGAGGAAATGTAAGATCTAGGAGAAACGATGTCTTGTTTTGCTCATTTCCTGTGTTCTGAGCATCAGAGCCATCTGTGGAAAGTGAGGTGGAGCTGACGATAAAGAAATGTTCAGAGTTTGTCTGATAACTTTTTCTTACTGTAACTCAGGCTCCAGTGTGTGTTTTTGTTACTGTGGTGTTGGTGCCTGTCATGGAACTATTTGAATGAACTTGGGGTGTATAGCTCATAACAACATGGAATCATTTCCTCTGTCTATATCTAGAACGTTTTATCACCCCAAGAGGAAGTTCTGTGCAGTCAGTCCACACCCCCACTCTGCACGGGCTGGAAATGTCCCTCTTCTTTCTGCCTTCACTGATCACCCTAGGAACCTCTTACCCTTTAGACTCATTTTGGCATAATTTCTATGGTTGAAGTAAAGTAGTTGCTTAAGTATTTCATAGCACTTGGAAAACAAGTCAGGATGTGTTTTAACAATAGACCATTTACATATCTAAACTCAAATGACACTTAACATAATTTCAAAAGCAATTGCCTTTGTAAAACATACTTGATACATTATGTAGTTATTTAATACGACATTTAGTGTTAAACTAAGAATGCAGGGAATAATTTTATTTTATCGACACTAATATAAGGTAGTAGCCATTTACATAAGACAAATGCTAATAAGAAAAAGAAGCTTTTAAAAGAAAACATGAGGTACTGTGGTTAAGATAATACAGCACTAACATAAACAGATGAACATGAAAGAATCGGACTCTGGTGTATTTTAGACCTTAGCATAGTGTAAAGGAGTAATTATTCAAATTATTGGAGAATGATTGATAACAGTTAGTGAATAACACATACCTAGCATCATAGTTTGTCATCTTGGAACAAACAAATCAAGAACTGTGCAATGTTTGAAATTTAGTTATAGATCTATACATTTTAATTTATACACATGCAAACACATTCATGTTTAACTACAATAGTATGTTTTGAGAAAAGGTTAGGCAATTTTTGTTGTTATTTTTGCATGACCATCATGGAGTGTTCTTACGTAGACCTAGACAGATAACTTTCTATGACTGGACTATGTGGTGTGGCATATTGCTGCTAGGCTGCACACCTGTTACAGTATGTTACCATACTGAGCACTGCCGGTGATTATAACACAGTATGTGTGTATCTAAGTATACAACACAGAAAACTATAGCAAAAAAATAATATAAAAAATAATAAGTGATGTGCACCTGTGTAGAACACTTTCTGTAAATGAAGTTTGCCAGACTGAACTCTGTTCTACGTGAGTCAGTGAGTAAATGGGGGTGAGTGTGAAGGCTGGTGGTATGATAGTCCACAGTTGTGGACTCACAATACTCTGCACTTAGACTGCACTAATAGAGAGTGAGTGTGAAGGCTGGTGGTGTGATAGTCCACTGTTGTGGACTCACAATACTCTGTACTTAGGCTGCACTAATGGAGAGTGAGTGTGAAGGCTGGTGGTGTGATAGTCCACTGTTGTGGACTCACAATACTCTGTACTTAGGCTGCACTAATTTATAAGAACTAGTTTTCATTTATCAAGAGTAAGTTTTCTTAGCTTATTATAGCTTTCATACTTTAAATTTTTAACTTTTAAAACTTTTAGAATTATAGTAATAGTTAGCTTAAGACATAAGACATCTCCTTACCTTCCAAGCTTTTTTCCTGTTATTTTGTTTGTAATAAAAGTCCCACGTATCCTCGTCTGGCACTGAAATCAGTAGCCTAGAATGACTTTAAACTACTGACTCTCTTCTTACATCTCTCTGCGAATGTAACAGGCATGTGCCCACTGTGCCTGGATTATGCAGTATTGGGAATTGAACCCAAGGCTTTGTGCAATCCAGATAAGCACTGTACCAACTGAACTGTATCCTCAACTAAGAGCTTTTGTCTATTTTGCCTATTTAAAAACATATGTGTTTGGGTAGGGGCATGTGCTGTACACCTTTAATCCCAGCATTCAAGAGGCAGAGGCATGTGGATCTCTGTGAGTTCAAGGCCAGCCTAGTCTACAGAGTGAGTTCCAGGACAACCTAGCCCTGTAGAGAGAAACTTTCTTAATAAGCAAACAAGCATACATACATTTTTGTTTAGGGTATGTGTGGGGAAGGGGTGGAGCACGCTTATGAAGTCCAGCAATGTTCCTCAAGTACCATCTGCCTTTTTTTTTTTTTTTTTTAGATGTAGTTTCTCTCTGGCCTGGAACTCGTCAACTAGGCTTGACTGACCAACCATTTAGCCCCAGGAATCTGCCTGTCTCCGCCTCCCTAGTGAAGGGTTTGCAATTTGGGGCCACCACACCCACACCCAGCTTTTCTTATGTGGGTTCTGGGAATCATTCCCTCAGCCCTAAAAGTCGTTTCATCTTGTTTTGTTGCTTTTCAAGTGTTTCTTTTATGAATTAAGACATGAACATTAACACGGGGCTATACAGGGGCAGGACCATCAATATGACTATCTTCAGCACCACACCCTGTCCCACTGCACAGTCTTGAGAGGCCATAACATTCAAGGCGCTGTAACCTATGATCACAATGCCTGGAATATTTCTTTCTTAATTAGGGTTTCTGTTACTGTGTTGAAATACTGCGACCAAAAGCAACTTGGAAGGAAAAGATTTATTTCATTTTGTACTTCTAGGTAACAGTCCACCAATGAGGAAAGTCAGGGGGGAACTCAGGCAGGGCAGGAGCTGATGCAGAGGCCGTGGAGGAGTACTGCTTACTGGTTTGCTGCTCAAGCCTTGTTCAGCCTGCTTTCTTAAATATCCCAGGACCACCCTCACAGAGGTGGCCACATGCTGGAGCCTCCCACATCAGTTCATCACAGGCTTTCCCACGGGCCAGTCTGGTGGTGTCATTTCCCCCAGTGAGTCTCCATCTTCCCAAATGACTCTAGCTTGTGTCAGTTTATATAAAACTAGCCAGTGCAATTCCCTAGAGATCTGCGTGGATGGACACACAAGCAAGACTGCGGAAGCGGGGCATAAGGGAGGGAGGACTCCACAGTAACCATTGAAAGCACGCCATAGTAAATACATAAACTAATAACACCGTTATTACTACTATTGTTACTGTTACTGCCATCGTCCAGTATTCTGCACCTTATGTAATATATGTGCAGTGTTTTATGAACCGTTAGCACAGTTGGTTTGTGTGCACAGGGTCGTCACAGGTATATGAGTGACAGATACATTGCACTATGGTGTTACATTGCAGCACTGCCAGGTCATAGGAATGTTTCACCTCTACTATAAGTTGACAAGACCACCACTGTATACGTGTGCACAGTCCACTCTTGACCAAATCACCATTATTCATATAGGACTCTGTGTGTATGTGTATATGGGACAACCTGACTTACCTTAAAAAAGCATCTCTAGACTGATAAAGAACGAGTGTCCCCCAACTAAAATCGGCACCAACTAAGATAAGTGAAATTTGTGAAACAGTGTTTGGGCAATAGTATGAAAGCCTGGTAACAGCTAGTACTGAGAAGCGTCGAGAGGACGAGGCATTCTTCCTCACTGCTGGTGGGAGTGGAAAGTAATGCTTCAGTTTCTACTAAAATGTAAGGCATGAGCCCCACATGCCACACAGCCTTATGCAATATGTCTAACAAATGAAATTGCCCTATATAAAGGTAGGTGTCCAGTGGGCCCAATGAAGCATCATGTGTAATGGGCAACTACCTCAGACTTCAACAGATAGGTTGTGGCTCTTTATCCTCTGGAGGGCTACACAGGTTTGAAACAATTATGTGTATATTTTCTTCATTGAAAACTACCCATTTGGTGTGACCAAAATGCCAAACATGTTTGAAGTATTTAGTGCACATCCTATTTTAAAAGTTAGAAACACACACACACACACACACACACACACACACACACGAGAGAGAGAGAGAGAGAGAGAGAGAGAGAGAGAGAGAGAGAGAGAGAGAGAGAGAGAGAGAGAGAGGTGGAAAGGGACATAATCAAATCTAACAATGGTTATATTATCAGGAGTGAAAAAAGAGGGAGTAGTTGAAATTACTAAAATGAATTCTATATCCATTGTTTAACTTGGTATAATTTTTAATTGAAAAAAATGTCATAATTGATTGTGCATGAATGTCCACACCATTGGACACAGCGGTCTGGCTTTGACCATGCGTGAGTACCATGTATCCTAAGATTGGAGACTCAGCATTACTACATTTGGTCAAAGATACTGGCATAGAACCATCAGCAAGTTTCTCTTGTCCAGTGTGCTGATATTGTCTGTAAAGCTACATGTACGGTTCTGAAATTGTACCTTTTACTTCCTTTTTCACTTCAAGTCATTAATAATTAGTAAACAAACTAGATTGTGAAAGAAATAACAGTATTTCATTATTGTCAGCCTTCTGTTCATCCTGTTTCACTATTTTTAAACCACTTGATCTGAGGAGTATGGTCCTTCTAGGCTTATGTCTAGCTACAGTCAAATCAAACACTGTCTCCTGAACAAACTGGATTCCCTTGAGTGTGGTGGTACATGGCCATGGACTCTGAACTTGGGAGGCAGAGGGGGGAGGATTGCTGCCAGCTTGCTACATAGTGAGACTGTCCTTTAAAAACAAGTTATTTTCTTCAATAAACTTGTGATATATACATTTGATACAAAGATTGTTTATCATTTTTCTCTTTTATTTCAGAACGCTTTACCGTGTACAGCTCTAAAAGCCTCAGACAAGCATGGAATAAGTAAGTGTACACAGATGGTGCTCATTCTCTCTCTCTCTTTCTGTTTCTGTTTCTCTCTCTCTCTCTCTCTCTCTCTCTCTCTCTCTCTCTCTCTCTCTCTGCAATTCGCTGAGTGAGTTTGTCACAGCATGCTTTCATTCACTGATGTTGTACCCATCCATTAATTTAAACACAAATTAACCCTTACTGAGGGTTTAGACATGTTCATCTACCATGTTCAGACAGAGCCAGTGTGGGTTCAGGTTCTTAGAGCAATGTGACATTGTATGAGAATTGTGAATTCTAGAATCTGCTGTGGCCCTTCTTGTAACTAAGTTCTGGGAAGTATTTAGTATTAGCAGAATAATACAAAACACACGATAGTAATGGACTTCCTAACAAATGGCATGGATTGCTATTACTGAGTTAGATAAAATGGATGTTTCTTTTTTCTTTTTTTCCAATTTACCTACTTTTCCCCTCTAAACCACACTGGGGAGATAGGTAAATTTATCACTTGAAATATATGTATATATATACACACACACACTCTTTTTCATTTCTCTCATTCCATCTGATCTTACTGTATGAAGGTTGGTGTGGTGGTCTGAAAGGTTGCCACACTGTCCTGACACCTATCATGACCCACATACATGATAGTAACAAATAAATCAAATGGGTTTATTGGTTTGAAAAGTTGACAAGGAGAACTTGTGGAGTCTTCATTGCATTCCAGCCTGTTAGCAGAACACCATAAGTTGGAACACAGGCTGAGTCATCTCTTGTTAGCTTTGCCGTCACATTTCAAATACCACACTGCAGAAAACGTAACTGTGGCTCCTTTGATTAAGTCAGCTCTCATTCATTCCAACATGTTGTCTGTGGAGAATCTGGTGTGACAATCTTTGTACTGTTGTGACATTTTAATTTGGGGTATTGTTGGTTATGACAAGTAAGAAAACTTTTATATAAGAATGTTTCTCATCCATGCTGTCAGCAGACATGGCTGGCAGCTGATAGTGAGACACTCTTAGGATGAATATATTACATTCTCTAATAATTTGAAGGATTGAACCATTTTTAAAATTATGTATTTAGAAAAATAACTGATATGATTATTTTTTCCTTCTACAAGGCATTTCTTAAAAAGGAATGCATGTAGCTCTTTAAATTACTGGGATATGTTCATTGTACAAAGTGATGAATTTCATGATACTGTTCTTAAAATGTATCATGTACTGTGTACTTTATTCTGTTCATTATCCATGGATAAATAAAGCTCCAATGTATGTGTATACCACATTTTCTTTATCTCATCACATATTGATGGACACCAAGGTCCATGTCTTAAGCTGGCTGTTATGGGCCATGCCCTGCTAATCACAGCAGATCAAGCAACTGTGTAGTGGGCTGACTTAGATTCTGTTGTGTGTGTTCCTAAGAGCAGTAGAGCTGGGGCAGTAGAGCTGGATCAGTAGAGCTGGGTCAGTAGAGCTGGGTCAGTAGAGCTGGGTCATACCCTGGCTGTTCGCGCCATTTGAAGGATCAGTCAGTTCCCTGGGAGGCACACCCTCTGCACACTGCATTCTGAAGTTAGTCCTTTTGCAGGAAGATGGGTGGAACTGGGAACATCATACTAAGCAAAATACATTAAAGTCAGAGTGATAAATATGGCACGTTTTCTGTTATATACAGAATCTAGATTTTGTACACACACACACACACACACACACACACACACACACACTCACAAATAACATAAAAATAGAAATGTGACCATTCAGGAAGAAGAAAGTACTACCATATGGGTAAATAGGAGAGGATAATGTAGGTGTATAAGGTAAAGTACATGATATATTTTAATGAAAGTTCACAAAATCCAATCACATTATATAATGCATATATGCTAATAACTTTTTAAGTTGTAGATTTTTTTAATTTGTAACATAATTATTAAACTGAAGTAATTGGTGAAATATCTTGTACTCTAGTAATAGATTCAAAATAATTTCCAAGAATTCAAATTATTTGGTTAATATATGGTGGTAAGGTAATCCAAAAACAAAAACAAAAATAAGTTGCTGTTCAAAATTAAGTAACAGTATTAACAAAGTTAAGTTTCAAAATTAAGTTACAATACCTTTAAAGGTAGGCATTATCTAAGCCCTGGAAACTATGGGGGTTGTTAGCCTGCCAAAGAGAACAGGGATTTCTTGAGAAAGCTAACCTTTAGTCTAAATAGCTATCACAAGTAATCCAGCTCATGTGTGAACCACATCTCTAAGTTACACCAGTGAAAACTACCACTTCTGCCCTGCGTTACACCAGTGAAAACTACCACATCTGCTCTGGGTTACACCAGTGAAAACTACCACATCTGCCCTGCGTTACACCAGTTAAAACTACCACATCTGCCCTGGCTTTCACCAGTGAAAACTACCACATCTGCCCTGGGTTACACCAGTGAAAACTACCACATCTGCCCTGGGTTACACCAATGAAAAACTCACCTGATTTCACTTATATTAATAACCATGAGTATATTTTGGGGGGACTTTATTTCCAGACAGGGTCTCTCTATGTAACAGCTCCAGCTGTCCTGGATCTCGCTCTGTAGATCAGGCTGGCCTCTAGCTCACAGAGATCCTCCCCCCTCTGCCTCCGAGTGCCCCCATGCCCAGTTCCATGAACATAATTTTATCTTCTGCAGTTTTGTAATATTCTATAACAATAGAGCAGTGGTAGAGGAGGATGTCAAAAGATGCAGTAGATATCAAAACGGAAAAGCCTAACATAAAGAAAAATATTATCAGTTTGAAAATAAAAAATTATCATCACTAAAGAAAAGTAAGCCCTTTTCTTCCTTCATACTAAAAAATGCATGATCCAGGAAGCTCTTCCTGCATAAAGGGGATTTGGGGCTAAATGGAGACAAATCTGAATTTCATAAAATATGTCTTGTTTTTTACTGCCTTCAAAATAGTCCATTTTATTTCATTGGAATTATGAACACTCATTCTATTTCTCTTGTAAATCTCTCTATTTATAGTTGTCTGACATTGGCATGTATGTGCAATCCACCAAGAATTTCAGCCACTTAAAAGATCTTTTATTATTTTGGCTGGGGAAAAGGCCTTAGTGTATATTCTCCAGTAGAGAGAAGGGGGAGATTCCAAGAACACATTTGCTTGCTTTGGAACTTTTTAACAGCTGAACCATTTGGGAGGTTTGGAAGTTTTGAAATAAGAACTGAGGATAAACCACTAAGTCACAGAAGACACATCTGGAAAATCCAGCTCATGGTTGGTAAAACGAGGCCCACGCACATCAAATGGGGTCCGGCCAGGCTCGTCCCCGCCCTTCTCTGAGGCCGTTCCTGTGAGCAATCCATCTGCTCGTTAAGCACAACTGGATTTCTCCTAAGAATGCATATACTTGGTATTTTTAAATGTGCAGTAAATGCAAAGGCACTGATGAAGCCACCTTTGGGCATGAGAAGATAGAAAAGAAGCATCCTTGCTGTGCTCTATGTTCTAACACATCCACAAGCCCTAATTTGGAAAATTTAGAAATAACCCAATTTTGTGCACTTGAGCTTTGCTTAAATATGTTATCCAATTCCATGTTTAGCCTCCAGAGCGTATTTTAAAAATGACCTGCTTGTTGTACTCTATATGCATAAAGCATGAAATAGGAGGTAAAGTAATGTTGGAGGAACAGACTTTCACTTTGTGTATTTCTACTGTTTTTCTTGTCATCGTATCTGATGTGGATCATTAATACTTAGATGAACACCTTCTCACGAAACAGAAACATTCCACTCTTCTATGTTCAAAGTTGATTTAAAATTACCTGATAAGAAAATACAGTATAAAGTAGGTTAGAGATTTACATTTCTTCGCCAGCATAGAAACATGATGAAGTTAAGAACACTGTTGATACACTAGGGGGAGCAGTTGAGTCAAGCAGATCTTAAAGTCGTCCACTTGCCCATTTTGTTCACTGTTGATGATTTTTGTTATAATTCTATTTACTTCAAAGTAGCAGTTTTAATTTATTTAGTGCCTGGAGACTTCCTTTCATAATATTTTCAAAGAAATTATTCCCTGCATCATTGATTGGCTTTGGGGAGGGGGGTTGCTTATTGGGGTGATCAGCTCTAAACCAGACATTTTGGAATCCCATCCTCTTAATTTGAGGACGAGCTGCGATTGCCAGCTGCCGATCTCTGTGGATTTGGTTACATCAATAGAAGGATATGTGGAGTGTAGTTCCTCACCACATTCTGTTCCCTTGAAAATGTCAATCTTCAGCACATGAGCAGGCAGGTCTCTTGTTTGGCCTTGGACACACACATGTGATATGGTTTCAAGGCCCAGAAGGCTCCCCTGGTTGCTCAAAGGCAGGTTAGAGCGGTTTCTGGGGACGTTTGTTTTCATACTAATGAATCATTAGTTCAGTTCCTCAAAGCCTTGTGTGGGTGTTTGTTAGGCAGATCCAGTCAGCCCCTTGACACCTTGGAGTTTGCAGATGGGGAGTCCAGAAAAGAAAGGAAGGAGGGCCGAAAAGAAGGATGCTGTGTGGGTCCTGGCAGGTGTCCTAGAACCTCATAAAAGGTAGAATTAAGGTACATGGAAACACACAGTTGGGGCAGTTTCCAAAGAGAAATAGCTAACGGATTTGCCAATTACTGATCAGTAATGGCAATATAAAAACAGGATGGGTAGAGGCGAGTGATCCATGCAATTGAAAAATCACAGCTTAGAATGTATGCCCCGGTGAGTTTTGTGAAAGGACCGTCAGTCCAGTAGTCAGATGGACTTAGGAATAACCCGGTTCTATGTATTCTTAGCACATCTTTGGGTAAAAAGATCTCTTCCAAAACTGATGTCCTTCTCAGTCTGGGCTTCATACAGCAGACGGAGCAGGGTAGAGTGCTGGGGTACACAGTCTGCCAGCTCATGCCTTCTTTGTACCATTACTGGGGAGTGTCCTGTGGTGGGAGGAAGGTTGGACTTAGA